TTTTTTTTTTTTTTTTTACAGTGACCAGATTAAAAAGTGGACTGACGGCCCTGACTCAGTGTTACCACTCGTCAAGAGCTTGATGACTAGAGGCATTAGAGTTTGGTTCTATAGGTGACCACATAATGCTAGCTAGTATAGTAAAGCCACAAAAATTGCTTCCCACGAAAAATTATTTTTTATACTGTTCTAATTATTATTATTTTTTTTTTTTTTACCGTCTTTCAGTGGAGATTTGGATACGAACGTTCCATTTACAGCAACATTGTACTCTTTGGTTAAAATTAGATCACCCGTTAAAACCTTATGGTATCCATGGTACGTCAATGACCAAGAGGTAAGAAAACACGTTTCGAATCTATAACATATTAATTTGCGGCGCTAAAAAAAAAAAAAGTTGGGGGCGTTAATGTATTCCGTTGCAGGTGGGAGGATATGCAGTTGGATATCAAAATTTGACGTTTGTAACCGTAAGAGGGTCGGGACATCAAGTGCCGAGTTACCAGCCCGAACGCGCGCTTGCTTTGTTTACATCCTTTTTGAAGGAAAAATTGCCTCCCGCCAAAAATGGTTCCTAAATATAGACTGCATTTGATGGTTAAGACTTGTAACAGTTATCTCAATAAATAAAGCTATCTAGCAATAAATATATTATTACTATTATTATTATTATTATTATTATTATTATTATTATTATTATTATTAACTAGTATTCGACCTGTGCATTTGCACAAATAAGTATTGTGAGTTATTTATATGCCTATAATGATTAATTATTTTTCTTTTACCTTTTTGCTGGCCAAATTTACAATTAAATGAGTTGGAATATCTATTTTTTTTTAAATTGCGTTTATCTGATTGGATGTAATGTATATTTTGGTACGTCTTTTTTTTTGTGAATTATTTATTATTTATTTAAGAATTTTAAATACGTTTTTTATTTTAAAAATAATAATAATTTAAATTTAACCACAATTATAACATCTAATCACATTATATGGTAAACACATTATATGGTCAACTGTCAATAATCAAAAGTTTAAAATAATTTTTGTAATTTTGAAGTGATTAATGTTGATTATTTAATAATTAAATGAAAGATTAAATACATCAAAAGTGACGATTTTTGGAGGGAAAAGGGTTAAATTGCCACATAGGTAAAATTAAATAGGTTTTACTAAATGCTATTAGCTAATAATAATATATATAAATTTCGGGGGATTATGTTATGTGGCGGTGGCCGATTTTTCTCAGGAAGTTGCTTTTTGTCATTTAATGGGACGATTTTATTACAACATGAATGAATTGTACAGTGAGATGCAAAGGAGTTTGTGATTTGTATATACAATGGAAATATTTAAATTTAATTACTTGTTGTGTTGTATATAATATGAGAAATATTTAAATTTAATTAATTATTGTGGATTTTATAAAATAGCTATTTTAAATTTAAGTGTGTATTTAATTGAGATTTTTAAAAAATTTTGAAGAATTTTTAAGACTTTGAAAATTATGGTATAATTTAATTTAGAGTTCTCAAGACTTACAAAAGTCTTGAGATATTCATTTGGTATTCATCCCGATATATTTAATTATTTGAGATTAAGATTTGTTAAAACTTTCTAAGATTTGTTGGAATTTCTAAAGAAATAAACATATACTAAAACTCATTACAAATCTCACATCCAAACTTAAAATTTTACAAGATTCCTCTAATTTAAAAATTTCAAATCTCGAATAGCCTTTAAATGTCACTCAAAATTCCAAACGAATACACCTACTTGTCGTGGATTTTACAAAAGCTACTTGCTAAAGAAGTATGAATATCTAGTTGCTACTTAAAATTGGTAAATTTTACTAAATGTAGTTAGGACTATATTGTCGAAAAATTTTACTAAATCAAAAACAACTTTAGTTACTAAAAAACAAAGTAACATAAATTAGTGAGAATAAATAGATAAAATATTGTGAGTGAATCAATTTTTTGATAATAAAAAAAAATTATTTTCGAAATTCAAAGTTACTAAAGATAATAAGAAAAAAAGAGAAATGTAACGGCTACACAGTAAATGAGGTTTTGACCAATATTAACATAGCTACACATTAATACAAATCAAACATGTTTTTATAATAAATTAATAAAAAATAAAATTGAAAAGTAACAATTTTTGGTGGGAAAGTGCCACATAGATATAATTTAATAGGTTTTATTAAATGCTTATCAACCAGTAATTATATATATAGATATTGAGATTGTGGATTACTTGGCTTTTATTATTATCTCAATAAATAAGCTATCTAGCAATAAATTTGTGGTATGTGAATCTCACAAAAAAAAAAAAAAAATTATGTACTATGATGAACATATAATGGCCCAAAAGATAGATGAACTATGATGGACATATAATGGCCCAAAAGTTGGAATTGGAAACGAGGAAAAGAAATCAAAGCACAAATGACAGAAAAAAATGAAATTGGATACATTTTTTTTTTCTTCATTTTCGTTTGGTTAATCTAACCTTTTTTTTTTTTTTTTTTTTGGTACAAGAAAGGGAGGCAGAGCCTAGAGTGTCTAACTCAAAACGGTCCTAGGAAGGGCAACGCCCATCCTATCATGCTGCAGCCACATACTCACCCCCAGCGGGGGGTTCTCCAAACTCTGCAACCCGCCCGGACACTTTGCCGCCAAGGAGGCTTAGTAATCTGCCACAAAATTGGCTTCCCGATACCCATGAACTATATGCACCTCCCACTCACGATGTAGAAGCTCCAGTATACCCCTCACCAAACTGCCATGCGGTCTGCCATAACGCTCGTGGGTAATCATCTCAACGACGCTCTTATTATCAACCTCAGCGGTAACTCGACGAGCGCCAACATCCCAAGCAAGAAGCAGGCTCTGGAATAAGCCCCAAAGCTCCACTCCAACAATCGAACAAAATCAATATTCATAACAAATCCGTGTACCAAATTCCCACCATGATCGCGAATAACTCCACCCGCACTAGCCATGCCCGTCGACGGGTCAAAACTCCCATCAGAATTGACTTTGAACTCTCCTACCGCCGGGCCCGACCACAAAATCAACCGTCTTTCCCGAATACCGTGCACCCCGACGCTCAAGGCCCCAACGGAGGCAAAACGCGTCATCTCCATAAAAGAAAAAACCTCCCCAATCCGGCAATCCATGGGAACGTCCGAGTCTTGAAAAAGCTTAAGATTCCGCCAACGCCATAGTCTCCACGCCGTAAGGCCAAATAACGAACACCAATCTTCTCGGGCCCGACTTAAGTTGCCAGCAAGGTTGCCCAAAAGCCAACGTCGGGTGTCCAAGGGAAAAAAGAAGCCCAGTAGCGGCGAGGAAGCAACTCTTTCCACAGACGGGTCGCCTCCGAGCAGTCCCTCAGCGCGTGTAAAGTAGATTCCGCAGCCGCTGAACAAATCGTGCATAACGGGCTGTCTGCCATGTGCCGCCTATGCCAGGAAACGTTCGTCAAAAGGCTGATCTAACCTTTAAACTGAATTCAAATTCATTCAATCTAACCTTTTTCTATGCAAATCTCAGTACTAATACAAATAGAAACAAAAAGTCGTCGTCATTATCTATTTTTCAAGAAAATATATTGTCTATTCAATCATATAATTTTAACTATCAATCATACTAATTAATAATTATATTTATATAAGTTTAATTATTCTATAGTATTCCATATTCATTCATAGCATAACGCTAATATCATCTATCTATATATATATATAAAAAAAGTTACCATTTACTAAAAATAGTAGTAAAAATTTAGGAAACATTCAATGCATACTATTTTTGGAATTTTTTTTAAATATATATTTTAATTGTTTCTATTTACACGTTTTTAAATAAGATCAAATAACATATGATCAAATAATTACTTAAACAAATTTATTAATATCTGCAGTATTTTCATTGATATTTATTATAATAAATTACAAGATTGATTTTCGTGATTCATGATGATAATATTTTAGTCAAGATAAATATTATTTTATTAATACTTGTAATACTTTCATTGATATTCATTATAATAAATTACAAGATTGATTTCTGTGATCCATGCTGATAATATTTTGGTCAAGATAATATTACACCATATTTTAAGTTCTAACCATAATATTAGTTTTTTTTTTTCACAAATATTCACTTTTTATCCAAATTTATTTATGGAAAATCGTAATAGGTTAGGTAGAACTTTTTTCCAAGTAATCAGACAAAATCAAGTTGGTGAAATAATCTTTGCCAATATATTTGTTTCTTATGCTTTTTTTTTTTTTTGATCGGAACGATAGATGAACTATAGATAAGCGCACAAAAGTGCGAAAATACAAACTTGGAGGCTAGACCGAGGTCCGCCTAGAATCGCTAGCAAGGCTAGAAGGAAAACGACTCAAACACCAACACAAGAATCAACGATACTGACAAAATAAAAACAACCTCAGCGAGGCGATGTGGAACGACCCCAAACGAGGTAATGTGGAACGACCCCAAACGAGGAAACACCCGAACGCAGACCGGCTCACAGGGGCCAACGGCCCAGACAAAAAACACAAACCTAAACCACACAAGCACAAGCACAAACACAGAAAAACAACAAAAATAAAACCTAAACGAAAATACACAAAGCCCTTCCCCGAGATGACCAAACCCATCAGCAGTGGCGAAACAGGACCAAACACCCCATAACTTGTCCGGAAAGCCGGAACACCACTCCCGCCACTGCCTAAAGCCTAGCAAGGAACGAGTCCAAGCCTCGAAACACTCCAAGGATGAAGGCGACCCATAGCCCGAAGAGGATCAAACAGCCCCCCCACACAGACCTTCTCCCCGAGACCCGACCAAACACCGCTGGACAAGTACCGGCCTGTTGGGCATCCAACTTCGCAGGCAAAGCGGACACAGGGCACAGGTCGATCCACCTCAACCCCGGCCGACGCATCACAGACGAAACGAGCCACCAGGGTCGCACCCAACCCCAACCACACACACTCACCTCCTTGAAGCAACCCACCACGATCCAGGCGCACAGCGGACGAGCTCCGACCGAGGACCAAGCAGAGATGGAGCCAGCCGACGGCCAGCCAACAGAGCTGCTACTCGGAGAACCCGCAGACGGAACCATCACCGGCGAGATGGAGACGACGAGACTTGCCAACGGATTGGGAGAAGATCCATCGGCGCAGAAGCACAAGCGAGAGAGAAATTGGGGCGGGGAAACGCAGCTACAGATCATCCGCCGGCGAAAGGGCCGACTAATCGCCGGGGAAGGCTCACGATGGACGCGAATTGACGAGCAGATGCGAGGTTTTCTGGAGAGAGAAAGGGGATCTGCGAGAGGTTTCTTACGCTTTATTTTGTTAAATATAAAAAATAAGTCGTTCTTCAAATTAATATAATTTACCATTTAAGAGATAATGACCAGATACAATAAATAGTTTTACTAATGGTACAAAATTAAAATTGAAACATATTAACTATTGTTTAGAATTTATTTGTATATTATTGGCACTCATGATTATATTTTTTCATTTTTTTATTTTGATTTAT